AAATCAACTTTCCCAATAAATTCTGCCAGGCCGGATGCCACTTCTGATATTTTTTTGGTCACCTTGTTTTGATTCTGTTTCACCATATCTTTAACTTCATTAATTTCCTGCATAAACTCCTGACGTTCTTGGAGATTAAATGAGAATTTGTTTAGATATGAAACAAATACAACAGAACTTAAAAAGCATTTGAAAGAATTTTTTGAAATAAATTTGAATAAAGGTACCCCAATTGAAATTGTGTGGGATGCAAGTAAAGCTTATATGAGAGGGGTACTTATCTACATGAACTCTAAACATAGACTGTTCCGACAAAAGAAAAGATCTGAACTGGAAATAGAAATAAAGAATAAAGAACAGTTACTTATTAAAAATCCAACAGATGAAAGAATACGTAGTGCTATAAAGACCAATTTCAAATGCTTATGGCGGAACAAGTTGCAACAAACTTACAATATGCGAAGCATAACACATTTTGTAACGCTAATAAACCGGGCAGATGGTTGGCTTACACATTGAGGAAAAAACAAAGTATACGGACTATTGATAGTATTGATATTGGAGGGAAAGAAATCTTTCAACAAAAATTAATTAAAGAAGCTTTTGTGGACTATTATACTAAATTATATGCTAAAGAGGAGGTGCAGAATGGACTTATAGAAAAATATTTAAACGATAAAAGAGTTACAAAAATTACTGATCAACAAAAGGAAAGAATGAATTATCCTATAACAGAGGAGGAGATAATAGTAGCAATTAAACAGTTAAAAATAGCCAAAGCTCCTGGCACGGATGGCTTGACTGCAGTGTATTACAAAACTTTGCAAGCTGAAATGGTGGAACAACTTAGAGATTTATTTTGCAATATTCAGCAAGGGGGTAAAATACCCCCATCATGGACAACAGCTTACATATCTTTGATACCAAAAGAACAAATCGGTCCTAAAAAACCAGAGAACTATAGACCAATATCTCTTTTGAATACAGATTATAAAATTTTTGCGAAAGTACTAGCCAACAGGTTGATGCCAGTAATTCAAAAGGTGATTCATGATGATCAAGCGGGATTTATCGAGGGCAGATATATGAAGGACAATGTAAGGCAAGTAATAGATTTATTGGAATATCTTGAGAAGAATAAACAGATCCCTGCAGTGCTGGTCTTTTTGGATGCAGAGAAGGCCTTTGATAGAGTGGATTGGAATTTTCTATTAAAGACTTTGAAAAAGATGGACTTTGGGGATCAATTTATACAGGCGATTTCGGCAATTTATCAAGAGCAAAAGGCACAGATCATTATTAATGGAAGTCTGACAACAGAGTTTAAAATTGAAAAAGGAACAAGACAGGGATGTCCGTTGTCCCCACTTTTATTTATTTTAACACTAGAAGTCTCGCTAAATACAATACGGGACTCTAATATCTTGAAAGGTATAAAGATTAGGCAAGAGGATTACAGAATAAAGGCATTTGCAGATGATCTGGTTGTTACCCTATCACAACCAATGGAATCAATAATCTTGATGAAGGACATTATACAAGACTATGGTAAAGTTTCAGGTTTTAGATTGAATCCAAAAAAGACTAAAATGATAGCTAAAAACATGACACAAGATCGTAAACATGAGCTTGAAAGGAGGGCAGGTTTTGAGACTGTACCTAAGGTAAAATATCTAGGAGTTCAGGTTGCAGAATCAAACATGAAATTGTTTCAAAATAACTATGAGGTGTTGTGGCGAGAGGTGCAGAAAGATATGGAGACTTGGAAAAAACTGCAGCTGTCTCTACTTGGAAGAATAGCAGCAGTTAAGATGAATATTTTGCCAAGATTTCTTTTTTTGTTTCAAATGATTCCGGTGCTTAAAAGTGATAAACAATTGAAAGTTTGGCAATCTGGAGTGAATAAGTTCGTCTGGAACGAGAAGAAGCCGAGAGTGAAATTGAAAATTATGCAAGATGTTCCAGAAAGAGGAGGTCTTAAACTTCCAAACCTACAGCTATATTATGATGCAGCAGCTTTAACTTTAACAAGTGATTGGTTTGGAAGCAAAAAGGCTGGAATATTGAATGCAGAAAGTTTTGATCTTGAATTTGGATGGCATGCTTACTTATTTTATGATGACAAAGTTGATAAAGTATTTAAAAGTCATATACTTAGAGACTCTTTGATGAGAGTTTGGAAGAAGCATCGACTCAAATGGGATTATAAAATACCGCTATGGCTGGATCTTGGTCATACTTTGTGGAATACAAATATAATGTCACTCGGGGGGTTTTTATACAAAGAGGTTCTTTTTACAGATGCGGGCAGATGGCAGCTGAAGACATTGCAGACACTGTTGGACGAAGGGATTAATTTAACTTGGTTACAATATAATCAATTACAATTGAGATGGAAAGAGGACCAAAAAAACTGGTATTATGTTGCATGAGGAAGAATTGGTTAGACATATAAGAGAGAAAGGTCCAATGCATATCAAAAGGCTTTATAATGTTTTGCTAGAAAGGGACTCAGAAACTGAATTAGTTAAAGATTGTATGATTAAGTGGGCACAAAATTTTGAAGAACCAGTGATGTTGGAAACATGGGAAAAAATTTGGGTTCAGAATGTTAAATTTACACAGTCGCAGAACCTGAGGGAAAATTTCTATAAAATGTTTTATAGATGGCATTTAGATCCCAAAAAGTTGTCATGTATGTACCCTAATGTTCAGCCAAAATGTTGGAGATGTGAATGTTTGGATGCTACGTATTATCATGTTTGGTGGACCTGTAGGAAAGTTAAGGCTTTTTGGATAAAAATTTGGTGGGTCATGCAGAATGTTTTGAAGAAAAAAATTCAATTTTCTCCACAACTGTTTTTATTGGGTATAGTTAAGGGTTTTACATTGGGTGAAACAAAATTGATATTGTATATGATAACAGCAGCAAGATTGTTGATAGGTAAATACTGGAAGAATGAAGCTTTGCCCACTATCGAGGAATGGACTTTGAAGATGGCCAGTTTTGCAGAGATGGCGAAGATTTCAGCATATTTAAAAGATTGTTCACAAGAGACTTATGAATGGGAATGGAAAAGGTGGATAGAATATGTTCAGAACAAATATCAAACTAGAAAGTATCAAATAGCTTTTATTTGAAAATAATGTATTGGAAATATTTTAATGTAATGAGGTAAAGAGAAAAATTATACAGGGGAGGGAGGAGTTCAAGTTTATATATAAGTGTTATATTAAGGGTTTTTTATGAGTATGAGTATATTATAGGGAAGTCTGGGGGAGGGGAGGGTTAGGGAGGGTTAGGGAGGTTGGGAAGTCTGGGGGGGAGGCGGGGGGGGAAAAGGGGTGAAAATGTAATTGTAAAACTTTTGCAATAAAAAAAAAATCCAGGTTGTTTTAATATATATATTAATTAGACAGATTTTCCATGTGACAAGAGTTTTATTAATGTCCTTAAAACAACTCCATAGAAACTTTGTAATTATGTCCAAAATGTCCCTTCATACACAGACCTTTTACACATTTTATTTATGTATTTATGTATTTATTTGAGTACATATTAGATAATATATATAAGTATAAGCATGAATTGAATACATAAAATGAGTACAGTTCTCCTAACATAAATAAATAATTAACTAATATAAGTGCATGATACTAATTCTGTTCTTTGGTTCGTTAATCTTCACTGTATATTTGGAAAATATGATCTTTTCTAATGCAAAGTATTTCGTAAATATTACTGCTCATGTTTGTAGCTGATGTTCAGTCATACTGATTGCATCTTTACATCAGATTTAACTGAGTAAAGATGCAGTCAGTATGACTGAACATCAGCTGATATTTAATCCACGTATTTCTCAGTTGTTATTGTATAAGCCAGGAAAGGCCATTGGGCATGCTGATGCTTTTAGCCGCTGTCCCCTCCCTTTAGCTGTCCACGATCCTGCCCTGGCGGCTTCCGTCCTCCTAGTGGACGACTTAACAATGTTGGTGACAGCCACTGACATTCAGGCCCAGTCCGCGTTGGACCCAGTCCTGTCCACTGTTCTAGACTGGATATGCAGGGGCTGGCCGCACTCCCAGGCTACAGCCGAGTTTATCCCTTAATGCCGCAGACAGCATGAGTTGTCTGTTAACAAGGGCTGCCTTCTGTGGGGGAACCGAGTGGTGGTGCCCACCAATGTCAGGTCCCAAATTTTGTCATGCCTTCACAATGCCCACCCGGGCGTTGTCCGCATGAAGGCCCTCGGTCGTAGTTATGTCTGGTGGCCGCGAATCGACCAAGACATTGAGGACTGGGTTGCCCGCTGCCCGCAGTGCCAACACACTAGACCTGCTCCGCCAACGGCCCCGGTACTGGAGTGGGAACCTCCCAGAGCCACTTGGGCAAGAGTTCACCTAGACCTTACGGGCCCCTTCCAAGGCCAGACATTCCTAATCACAGTAGATGCACTTTCCAAGTGGGTAGAACTTGCCATCATGCACGCCACCACGTCTACAGCCATTATTGGGGTTCTGGAGGCCCTGTTCGCTACCCATGAGTTGCCGGATGTCATTGTCACAGATAATGGGCCACAGTTCACATCAGCACCCTTCCAGTTGTTTCTTGTCCGGCTGGACATTCGCCATGCCCAGACAGCTCCGTGTAATCCTGCCGCTAATGGGCTGGCAGAAAGGGCCGTAAGATCGGCCAAAGAGGCGCTACGCCGGTTGGGCATCACAAATTGGCACCAAAAGATCCACCAATACCTGTTGGCCCAACACACAACACCCAGTTCGACTACTAAGCATAGTCCAACTGAACTCCTCATGGGCCGGCAGCTTCAGATGACCCTAAACCATTTGCACCCTGACTACAATCAGGAGCCGCTGCCCGGAGTGCGCATGCCTTCCAGGGTTTTCAGTGTGGGGGACTTAGTCTATGCTTTGAACTTTGATAAGGACTGTAGGTGGTTGCCGGGCCAGATTACACAAATAACCGGTCCCTATTCTTATAGGGTTCAACTCTCCGATGGGAGAGTTTGGCGGCGACATGTTAATCACCTGAGAAGGAGGATCGCTGATGCGACTACCCAGCGGCCTAGCCGGGACCACCTGACTCCACCTAGTAGAGGCCACACTGGTGGAACTAACACCAATCCTTGTTCTCCAATTGGTTTGATTGGTTTGACCTATCTGACAGCTAGCTATTTAAGGAGCTGTCAGATGTGTTGCTCTCATCTTACTGCTGCATGCATTGTTCTTGTTTGTTATTGTTCTAATAAAGTTGGTGTTGGAATAACCTAGCCTCCTGCCTGTTTACCCACTGGATTCAACAGTTATAATAGCATAACTTTGTCCTCTTTAAGAATCAACAATAAAAAATAAAAAAAGCAACTTAGCATTTTGGACACTTTCTCCCTATCTCTGTCATAAAATATGCAGATTAATATTTAAAAGCAGATACATATTTATTTCTTATTTAATTTTGTCCCATTCTTCCACAGCAAAAAAGGCACACATACTGTCAGGGTTTTGATCGATCCCATTTTTGGCTCTGGGACAATCACCCTGATTAATTAGAGGATGGACCATGGCTTTCTCCAAGTTGCAATATTCTGAAATAAAACCCGAAGAAGTATTCTCTAATAAAACTCATTTATTTGTTATAAAGAAAATAAAACACCTCACTAACTAAGAAAAGTAATTGTTACATTTTGAAAAAGTTTGTGCCAGCTGCTTTTCTCAGCAGCCGGACCCCTGGCAAGAGAACAAAGGAAGGAGTGTGTGGAATGGAATGTGGATGCGGATACACGTAGCTTACTGATAAAATTTGGCAAGCTACGGAAAGTCTGACAATCCAGAAATAATGAGCTCAGCTGGTAAATACAAAAATGCAGTGACATCCCCTTCTTTTGCCAGTTGAGCGAATATCAGTACATCATCAAATAAAGCACATCTTACGCAGATACTCATGTTGAGCTGCTGGGAGATCAGCAATTTGATCATGTGTAGATACATACTGCATTTTAACAAAAACTTTTGTCACTAAATGTTTTATGTTTTGATAACGGATGTCAATGTGTCTGGACCTAGAACCTGTAAAATGAGATTCAGAAATATAAACCACCGATTCATTGTCTTCCATCACGGTGATCGGTCGAATCGGACGTGTCCAGATATCTGTGACTAAAGCATCAAACCAAGTTAGAGAATTACATGCATCTGAAACACAATCATATTCAGCTTCAGTAGATGAACAAGAAACAAAATTCTGTTTACGTACTTGCCAATAAACAGGACATCCATTTAACAACATCATATAACCTGAAGTACGTGATTTCTTATCACTTGCCTAATCAGAATCTGCATAACAACTTAATTCTGCATAATCAGTACGTGTTGGTTCTAACAATAATTTCAAATGTTTGGTGTATTTTAGGTATCTCAATAATTTCTTAACGCATGTCCAATGAAACTGTTTTGCCTTACCTACATGTCGAGATAAGAGATTAACACTAAGTGCAATGTCGGGTCTGGTCCAACTACTAATGTACAATAGTGACCCAATAACTGAACGATAAAGTGTTTGATCCTCGAACTCAGGACTTGCTTCTTGTGTCAAGTTGTGAAAATCTGTTTGCATGGGTGTCTTTGTTGTGTTAGCATCTTTCATGTTGCAATGATGCAAAATTTGTTCAATTTTATCTTCTTGTGAAAGACTAAACCCCTTCTGTGTTTTTTCAATCTGAACACCTAAATAAATGCTAATATGACCTAATGATTTCAATGTGAAGTATCTCTGCAAAGCTTTGGCAAAAATTTCACTCATTTGCTTATTTGGACCAATATAAACAATATCATCAACATAAACAGGAACTATCTCATATGCATTGTTAGATCTTTTTGTGAACACGCACTCATCAGTTTCGGACTTAATAAAGCCCATTAAATTTAGTTTGTCAGTAAGACATAAATACCACATTAAACCAGATTGTTTCAGACCATAAAGACTTTTGTTTAGGAACCAGGTATCCCCTTCTTGCTGTCGGAATCCTGGAGGACTTCTCACATAGATCTCTTCATCTAGGTCTGCATTAGATAAGCTGTGTCAACATCAAACTGGAAAACTTCTAAACCAAGGATAGTTGCAGTAGCTAAAGCAATTTTTACACTCTCAGTTCTGACTGTCGGTGAGTAAGTATTTGTGTAGTCCTCAGGATAACGTTGAGCGAAACCCTGAGCTACAAGTCTGGCCTTGTACAATGACTCACCATTTGGTTTCTTTTTGATTTTGTAGACCCATCGAGTGCCAATGACCTTTTTGTTTGCTGGAGGTTTTGCAGGTGTAAACACTTTAAGTTTCTTTAGACTGTCCATTTCAACCTGCATTGCTTCGTACCATTTCTCTTGCTCTGAATCAGGAAGCTGCTTGATTTGTGTGAAATTATCAGGTGGAAGTGTAACATTGCAAATCAAAGGCAAGGGTGCTTTTGTCAGTTGCCAAGAATATCGTTGTGGAGGGATTCCTTTTGTGGCCCTCTTGGAACGTCTCGGAACAACTGTCCAGTCTTCTTTTACTTCGTCCTCATCCTCACATTCGTCACTAGCATCAGCATCCGCGGCTTGCGAAGACGGAACATCGGGTTGAGAAGAACTAGTGGAATCTTGATCATCAATCTGCGTGGCATCAGCAGTATCATCTCTAGGAAAATAAACTCCAGGATCATTGGAATGAATCCTGGACCAGTCAATATCTTCCTCAAAATTAGCAGATTGGGAAATCACAATTGCATGTTTAGAGTCAATAAATTTGCTCCATTTTGAATTATCATCAATACCCATAAATCTCAGTCTCTTTGCTGCTGGACTTCCTTTCCTTCTTTGAGCTAAGAGAATGTTCACCATAGCATATGAACCAAAAATATGGATGTTTTTAAGATCGGGCTTGTAGCCATACAACATGAAGAAAGGAGTCTGATTCATTACACTGCTCCAAGTACGGTTGACAATGTAATTTGCATATTTTATAGCTTCACCCCAATATATCATATCAAGGTTGGTGTCTTCTAGGAGACAACGCATCATGGTTTGTAGTACCTCTCCGTTGTGAGCCGGTGTGTAAGGAGCCGACGTCTGATGAAGAATTCCATTCTTACGCATCCAGTCCTGGAAACGCTGAGACATGAATTTGGCACCATGATCACTCTGGATTCTGGCGATGCGAACTTGGTGTTGGGTGGAAACAAGGGCTGCAAAGTCTTTAAAGATCTGAAAGATCTCAGATTTTTCTTTCATAGGATATACATATCCATATCTAGAGTAATTATCAACAATTGTTAGAAAATATTTTCTACCACCAAATGATGGCGGAAATGGACCAACTATGTCAATGTGAACCAAATCAAAAATGCGTATTGACAGGCGTGTAGCACGTTTGGGAATGGCTGCTGCTTTGGATTTGGCCCTTTTGCATACAGCACAATCCAAAAACACCTTACACCCCTTTAGATCCAAACCTTTTGCGAACTCCGGCATCTTCCTAAGAACACGGAAACTGGCATGCCCCAACCTTCTATGCCATTTGTGGATACACCTGGAATGCAAAGGTTTACCAGTTAGTGAATTCTCAACATTAACAGTTTTATGAAGAACCTCAGGCTTGCTCTGAGCAACCTGTTTCCCAATTCTCTTTTTGTTGGCTTTAGGAGCCTTTGGAGCAGCAACAGGGTATCTCACTGGAGCATCTCTCTCTGGGCCTGTGCTCTCCCTTTTTGGAGTTTGTATACTTGCCTGAGTTTGCGTTTTAGGCTTTGGCTTTAAGTAATAAACACCACCAATTAATATGGTTTCAGCTACAATATCTCTATCTTTAACTATGTAACTTGCTTTTTCAAGGTCGTGAACCTGGAACTTTAATGCTCTAGACAAGTGACACTGACTAAGCAAATTACTGGTTGGTGTTGGTATGTAATAAACATCAGGAATGAATGCATCGAGCTCTTCAACATAAACAGTTCCTTTTCCTTTGACCTGACAAGGATGATTTGAAAAAGAATAAAGTTCACGTAGTTCAGGTTCAGGCTCGTGCATCTCTGTGAAAAGTTCCTTTCTGTAGGTAACATGCAATGTTGCACCACTGTCCAAAGTCCACAGGAGTCATCTGTCGCACTCTGGTTGAGGTTATGGATCATTGGTTAAAGCCAAAGTGGCGAGTGGTGCTTGTGGATCACGCCTGGGACCACGACGACCTTGTCTTCCGCCTCTGCCTCTGCCTCTGGAATCTGTTCCTCTGGGCTGGTACGTGACGGGAGCTGGAACTCATTGGGGACAATCCCGGGCGGCATGTCCCACACGATCACAGATGTAGCATCTTGGCATCCTTGGAGCGTAGGTCCTTCCTCGGAAGGGGCGCCTAGCTGGAGCTCTTGATGCGGGTGGTCCTCTCAAGTGTGGAGTAGCTAGCATGAGTGCTTCTTCTTCAATTAAAAGTCTGCATATGTTGTCCACTGTGCGTTGAGCAATAGGGACTTGGTTAATCTTTGTAATGGCATCTTTCCATTCATAATTCAAAGAGTTAATAATAATGCTGATTATTTGAATATCATCAATGTTATAGCCTCTTTCTCTCAATTCTCTTCTCAGCCCTTTCAGTTTGGTCAAATGTCCTCCAATTTGTTCACCAGGTTTCAATCTCGAACCATGGAATTGAGACATGAGCAAACATGAAGATTCAATTGAAACAGGCCTGTAGCAATTTTCCAATTGGACCCAAATTTGTTGGGCTGTTGCATCAGGCGAAAATGTAACCTGCAGTTCAGTATCCATGGACATCAATAATGTTGTGCAGGCTTTTGTCTCCAAGTCTTTTATTGCAGAGGACCAAGGCTGAGCCGGGGGGTTAAAAACCATACAGTGAGTGCCTTCTCTGTGAAGTAGCAATCCAATCTCACTGACCCAGGCCTTATAATTCTGTCCTGACATTTTTAATTTTGACTCACCAGCTAGTGGAGCAACAGAAAATGCCTGTTGAGGAATGTGCATTTGAGGTGCTGGCTGTGGAAGTAAAGGCACTTGTTGCGCTGGAGGTGGACCAGGAGCTGGCCCTGGTTGTACAGCTGGAAGCACATGTGCA